CACGTGGGCATGGCCAGCGGGGATAGCGCCGCGGTGGAGAGTTGAGAGAGGTGAGTTGTGAAAGTGTGCGGGGAGTTGGGTCCTGAGCAGCAGCAGCTGAACCAGAGCGACTGGTCCAATGAGGGAGAGGGGCAGCATGTGCGGGAGATAGAGAAAGATAAGAAAAAAAAAGGGAGAGAGAGAGAGCGCGCTTTCGCTGCAGAACGAAGAGAGAGGGGAAAAATAGTCCCCCGTAGCCGTGCCGAGAGACAGGGATAATGCATAAACGAAAAAAAAGTAAGTGAGAACAATAAAAGTGTGTTTCCTTTCCTTCCCACCGGCTGCTGCTTTAACCTCTCCCTTTCTCTCTCCCACTCCCTCCTCCTCCCGCCCTATTCCCGCGGATCCTCCCCCCTCATCTGCGCGATCCGACGCGCTCGAAACCCCCAACACACAAATGCGACGGGGACGACTTTCTCTGAGGCATTAGGAAAGATTGTTATTTTAAATTCCCCATCCCTTTCTCGCGCGCATCGGACTTTGGCCCATCCTTTCTTTTCTTTCTTTTCCTTCTCATCCCCTTGCCGCTCCTCGCTCTTGCTAGCAAGAGAGCGTCTCTCTCTCTCTCTCTCTCTCTCTCTCTCTCTCTCTCTCTCTCTCTCTCTCTCTCTCCAGCGGTGCCTAATTTTCCCTTCATTACAATGGCGCACAGACACTCTTTCTCTTTTTCCCGGGCTTTTAAAAGCTTTAATTATTTTATAGATTACGCGCCTTGTCGCAATTTCCCTCCCTCGCTCTCCTTTTTTTTAAGAAATAAAGAAGAGTCGCGTCGATTAGCTAACTCTCGAAAAAGAACCGGCTGCGAAATAGAGAAGGGGGTGAGGCGGGGCGAAGGGGGAATGCGACCAGCTGGTGTTTGAACCCACGCACGACTGGATGCAACTCGGATGTCCTCGACCGTGACCTGCGTCCTGGTCACAAAGCGAGTCACAAAGGCTAATGATTGCTTTCGCAATGCCCCCCGCCCCTCCCCACACACACGCACACATGTCGAGCATTGAGTCGGCTGATCGCTCAACGAGTGTTTAACTATTCCTAAATGTGGCGGGGCGGGGTGGGAGCGCCCGGGGCCATCTCAGGGGAGGCCGTGATGGCCGTGTGTGTAAATAAAATCGGGCGACACGGCGGCGCGCGGACCGGGACCGCCCCGGGGCTAGAGCACGCCGGAGGGAGACGGATGGGGGGGGATGGCGAGGAGATCCCTTACTGCTTTTGGGGTAATTAAATTTACGCCTACTACTACTTCACTTCAACTCCGAGTAGGAGATACGGCCGAGGAGTCACTGCTGCTTGCACCGACCAGTGCGCCTCACCAAGACAGGGTAGGCAACCCGAGCGCGCGAGTGCCAGGCATTGCCTACCGCCCAGGCGCCCGACCCGTCGCACACTGGGCCAAAGCACCGAAAAGTTGGCAAAAAATCATTTTACGAAAACACGATCTTGGGTTTGTAAATAATTGGAATATCTTCTATAAGGTCTAAAGAATCAACTACCGATCATATCAGTAATGAAACATAAAGATATTTCTTAAAAAGTTGATTTGAAATACCGTCCCGGGAGAGAGGGGCACCCGGGTGCGTCAGACATTTATTCTTCAAAACTGTAGTTTAGGTTTGTATATCACCCAGGGACCATATAAAATATACAGTTTAGACGTTTTGCTACTATTTCTCTTAATTGAAAGATTTATATTAACGATCTTGGACAAAAAATCGCCAACTAAAAGGGTCCGAAAATGACGCGATTTTTCACCATTTTCACGTAATGTTATCGTATTAATAACCGGCATTAACCGTCAAGATCTAAGCAAAATATGAAAGGAAGGACCTTTCTCTAACTTGTGCCAAAATATGAAGCTCCCGTTTTCTCCCGGTTTCTGATAAGAACCAAATACAGAAAGCTCTGCATCGTCTGCCCACGGGCCGGTGGAGGCCGACTAACCCCACTTATCTGGCGCGGTGCGATGCAACGTGTGCAGTGATTGGCTCCACGTTTGGAAGACACTTGCTGATTGGTTGCATTAATTGGAGGAAAGCGCGCGAAGTTTTCAAAGAGACCTTTGACACCTGATGGGTTCATTTTAGTTTAAAATTAAAAATTTTGGCTCATCTCAAGCTAGGGAAGTTGATTGAAGGACACTCTACCGAAAAATAAATAGGAACATATTTGATGCCAGCTTTCTGGTGTTCCGGCCCAGTGTGCGTCGGCTCCTCCAGCTCCAGCGCAGCGCGCCGTCCTGCGGGAGGGCAGGGCGGTTTTGTTCAAACGCCTGACAAGGGGACTCATATAAGTGTAAATTCCTGAATCCGTCAACACTTTGGGGTTTTCAATGTTGCCTGCATACTAAACGATTGCCGATAAAAGTTCGTGCCCAATTTGATATTTTGGTTATAGGGGGAAAGTCCCATATATTTGATAAAATGGCTGAAAATCTATCATTTTTGAAAAATCCGTTTTTTTAATCTTTGTCCTGCGTGCATCGATTTGGACTTGATTGGGAACTTATGATAATTTAGGGTTTTTCGTTAAAAGACGATTTTTAGTAGCCTAATTTTTAAGAAATTGGACTCCCCTAATGTACCCCAAAATATCAAATTGGGCACGAACTTTTATCAGCAATCTTTTAGTATAGAGTCAACATTAAAAACCTCAAAGTTTGAACGGATTCGGGAATTTACACTTGTGTGAGCCCCCCATGTATCTGTGTCGATTTGCCAACTCTTCATTTCTGCTCATGCGGTCGTTGCCGGCTGCCGCTCGACTTTCCCACACACATCGCCACTTGCAGCGGCGGCGGCCTCCTCTCGTCTCAAATATTATTTCCATTTAGTAATTTCCCAAACACAACAACAGTGCAGCGCTCAAGGGGGGCGCCGCCGAGCCGCCTCGCGCGAACAAATAAGATGGACTGTATCGCCTCTGGTCTCCTGGTCCATTATACAGCCATCAGCCCAGTTATCGCCACAATGCCGAGCCGCGTGGCGCTCGCGGCCGCGTGGCGAGAGCGGCGGAGCGGGAGGGCGAGAGCGGCGGCGGGTCTGGTGGTCCAGCACAGCACCATCAGGGAACTGCACGCGCCCACGGGAGCCTCGAGTGCGGGGGCGTAAGTGACAAGGCATATACAGGCGGTGAGAAACAGAGCCCCAACTGCGCGCAATAGTTTTGGGTTGTAAAACAATCATTAATAAAAAATAAAACTCTGTCCGCAGCATCCGCAGCTGATCTCCCTTTTCTGGACCGGACTGTACCGGGCCGCGTGGCTCCGCCAGGCTCGTGCCGTGGCGGCGCGTGGCGACCCGCCGCACGCATCACCCCCCACCCCCGCCCTGCTGCTGCTGCTCCCTGATTATGTTTACCGTGTGGTCGACTCCATACCCCACCAGTTGACTCTGCGCCCGGCCGACGCTCGCTCTTTCTCTCTCTCTTCCTCTCTGGCAGAGATTTTAATCCAACTTTTTTTTCTGCACTTCCCCCTCCCCCCCCTCCCCTTTACCCCTTTTATTTTTCTAAAAAATTATATTTTTACATTATTTCGTCATCATGGTCATCACCATCACGACCCCGCCGTCGGTGCGGCATTTAAATTAGATATTATTCTTATTAGTGGGTACCCAGACAGAAAATTACTTGGGAGGTAAATATGATGAGGGTGAAAGCTCACAGTGCAAGCTAACGCTGCAGCAGCCGCCGCTGCGAAAGGCGGATTTAACGAGGTTTAGAGACGCTCTCCGCGCCTGATGGTTTTCCGAGAGGACAGTGCGTCCAGACTACCCCGAGAAAAAATAGGTCTATGACATTGTCATAAAATCACGTCAAGATTAACCATTTTACGTCAAAATTCACCATTTAAAGTCCAGAATTAAAACTTTTACTCACTCTGAGTTTGTAAATGTCCAAATTATACAAAGAGGGCTGCTAAAGCACGGAACAGCGGGAGCATCAAACGCCACGCAATCCTAAAAAAGCAATCAAACCAAACAAAAAAGAGACATTAACTGAGATAATGGATATTAGCTGTCATGATGATGATGGATCACTGTGAAAAATGCCTTTGTAAGTTTACAAAATATTTTGTATTTTCGATTTACAAAATACGTTGTAAATTTACGACAGCCCAATCTTGCTCGTCAATGGGCTTAAAGTCGATACAGGGTTCCTCTAATTTTACAACAAACATCATGGAAAATTTTCCAGTAAACCTTACAGGTTTTTCTTACAGTGATGATAATGAACGTGATGGTGACATATGATGGTGATGTGACGATATATGATAATGACGTGATGGCAGTTGACGATAATTATGTGATCACGATCATGTGATGATGATGCTATGACGTTTGTGATAGTGATGACGGTGACGACGGCGAAAGATATGGCCCTTTTGGTCGTGCGTCTTCTCCTCTGTATTCTTCTCCAACACCATCGGTAGATGCGGTAGCGGCAGTGGCGGCCCGATAAAAAGAAGCAAGCGAGACGAGAAACAATAAAGGCTCTGCCTGTCGGCTCCGGCGCGCTGTAAGTGTATGTGCCCCCGGGGGCCGCTCGGTAACCTCCGTCGCGTCTCTCTTCTTCTTATCTCACCAGCGGATTCCGATACAAATATACACCCCCCACACATTATACTTTTAGCGCCTGGCGATAAGTTTTGGCGCCCCACCCGCCGCAGCGCCCGGCTACGCGATCATTTTACTCTCTTTTTTTTTGTTATCGAGGCGCGTTTTTGCTCTATGTCTGCGACTTGCAAAAGGGGAATCGATCAAAAGCACCAATGTGTGGACCGAAGAGAGAAGGAAAATGCCAGTCGGATTACGGTCTCAAAGCCCCACTAACGAAAGCCCTGAAATTTCGACAACGCATATATGACCGCAAAGTAATGCATAAACTTCTGCAAAATAATTGCATAGTAGGTTCGCAATAGTACCAACCATTGTGCACGTATAAACTGAAAGAAAAATTGAGGCATGGTATTGCAAACTCGGCAACCTACCAAAAAAAAGGGTGAAACACGAACACACTAGCGACTATACCTCAAGTAAGTGTGCGACTGGTAAGCACAAATCGCATAGTACTTGCCGGTGTTTGACAAGAAATTCGAGTAGAGAAGTTGCAAGTTTTGAACACGAATGCGTTAAAATTTCCTGGCAAATACCTGCCAGCAATCCGACACCTGCGTGTTGAACTCTTGCAAGTGCTTTGCCAGTTATACACCTTTTATTTTTACGTTTTTAAAAATTAACATTTAAATTTCATTTTTTGCGTCGCAAAAAAGTTCATCTAGAAATTTTACAGAGAGGCTTGTCTGCGAAATGGAGGCAGTAGTGAGTGGCGCCAGCGACCGCTGTACCATCGTATCTCCACCACTTCCCTCTCCGGCGCGCCGCCCCGTGCCGTGCGCCTGCACAAATACATGAGAGAGCGATTTCCAAATTATTCCATCGTTTGCTCCCAATCCATCATCTCCCTCCCTCTCTCTCTCTCCGGCTCACCCTTCCCCTCCCCCGGCATTAGGGCTCCGATATCTCGCTATGGCCGGCTGATGAGTGGCCACCCTAGGCGCCGCCCCGCGCTAGTGTGCAGGCCGGACTGGGTGTGTAAACAGATGTTATCACGCCACAAAACGCACTTTTGATACCCCGCTTCCCCCAGCACGGGACGGACGCACCCCCGGCGCTTCTTCCCTCCAGCCTCCGAATTAACTTCTCTCCCCCCTCTGTCTCTCTGCCCCTCTCTCCCTTTCTCCATCTGCGTTACTGGACGTGCCTTTAGTTGTCTTAATTTTTGTCGAAATGGCCGCAAGTTGTAGTTCTGATCTTTGTTGTTGAACTTTCGAAACAGTTCCCCACACGGTAAAAACAATGTCTCATTTTTTGAGTGAAAAAGGAAAACTTTGAGGAAATTCCTTGGTTTGAGGAAAGTTTCTCAGATTTCGAGGAAGTCTCCTCAAAAACTGTACGCGATTTTTCCTCAATTTTTGAGAAGGTTCCTCAAAAACCTGAGGCGACATCCGAGCAGTTTTCCTCAAATATGGGAGGTCCTAAAAGTTTTCCCTTTTTCCTCAAAAGATGAGAAATTGTTTTTACCATGCATCTATTGGTTGCCTATATCGAGATCCGATAAATCAACCCCTGCCAGCCTCCCTCCCTTCCTCTGCCCCCCTCGGCGCCTCGTACCCAATAAGTACCTCTAATTGGCTGAGCAGTTGCGGGCCCACCCAGGCCAGCGCACACCTGACCTGATCCCCCGGTGTGTCGCGGCAGCGGAGCGCACATCCCGCCACGTGCGCCACTTGGCTGGAGCCGGAGCAGCAGCTCAGCCAGCCACCGCGCCACGCAGCGCAGCAAGGACACAATCATCACGGTAGCCTGCTTACCTTGCAGTCACTCTTCCGTGATGTGCACTCGCAGCCGCGCGCGCGCGCAGGTGTACCTCTCCCCTTTTTGTCTCCTCCCCTCTCTGCCCCCCTCCCCCTCACCTCGCACTCCCCTCCCCCTCTCTCTCTCTGTCTACCCCCCCCCCCCCTCTCTCTCCCTCGCGCCAACGCTTCGCGGCTGATCCTTCGTGTATCGCTAACCGTGTAGCAGAGGGGATGGTTCAAATCGAAAACGACAAAATCTTCACAAAACTACAATTCAGGTAGGTGTATAGAGTAAGACTTATCGCCATGGCATTGTTGCAAAACCAATATGCCATAGCAATTGGGTGACTCACGCCGCGCGCACTTTCGTAGTTGTACTTTACCGCATTCATAAGTGCGCGCGGGCAATTGCCCGGGTTTCCTATCCTTGCTGCCCGCACGGCTACTTATGGCCCCGTGCGAGTAGGAAAGCCCGTCCACCGCCCGCACTCGTGCACGTACAACTACGAAAGTGCGCGGCGGCGTGAGCAGTTAGCCAGTTTAAACTGCCAGCCATGTGTAGCGTTCCAATCTGCTAGAATTTAAGTATACTTTATGTATACTTTTTTGAAAGTACACATATAAGTGTCATTTCGATATACTTATTTCCATGCGGGCAAGCCTTTAATAATCCTTTGCTCTTTTAGGAGAAAGAGAGACTTTACAGCACAAATTTCTAGTGCGAGTCGGCTAGTTCTTTACGCTCGCCCAGAACGCCCGCCTCTCCAAACTAAACGCGCAGTTTCGCTGTGTAGGGGCGGGGCCGGGCGGGGCCGCGCGGGGCCCCACCAGAGCCCCTTTGTAAGGCCGGGGCACGGGGACGCAGATTTAGTGCGGGGGCCGCCAGTGCGGTGGCGCGAGGCCCCCGCAGCCTCCGCCCGGGGCCTGCCCGGGGCACACGGGGTGGCTGGCAAACTATTTCCTGCCACTTAGGCAGGTAAACAGCCTCAATTAAACTGTACCGCCGCACAGCACCACCCGCCGCCCCCGCGCACAACATTTTCTCCTCCGTCTCGGCTCCGGCACCACTGGGCAGGGCACCACCACCGAGCCGTGCTGCTTCCCGCTCGCTCAGTTACTCGGAACCGCGTTCTCGCTCCGACTCCAACCCTTTTCGCAAAGACCAAAAGCCAAAGTCGCGGGGACTTACGAGTTGGCATCATGGCCGCGGGGCCCGAAGACATCCCCCCACCCCTTCCCCTCTCCCCCACAGCGCCGTTCCCGCCCACGACGACGCACCGCGCCCATGGAAGACCCGAAAACCGCGCCGCGGAAACGCGAAAGAGGCGTTGAGAAAAGCGCTTTCGGGTTACTTGTTGCGTAGCTTCGCCTCGCGAGAAAAGGAGAGAGTCAACCGAAAATGCGACACGGCCCTGCCCGGGTTTCGCAGCAGTCCAAATCCTCGCGGGGATCCATCACCCACCAAGTAGCGAGGGTATGTGAGTGATTCTCAACAAAAACTGTCCGATTCTGAAAAGGAGTTTATGTTTTGAGAGCCGCCGCGACGGCCAAACTCACGGTAACGGGGAAAACCGCGGGGAAGACATAGTGACGGGGCAGATATACAGTACATGGTTCAGAGTGAAAACGACAAAATCTGTCAAACTACACTTTAGATGAATGAATTATTCCAGCTTGGAAATAAGTATAGCTAAATGACACTTTTATGTATAGGCCTACTTAAGTATATACTTTAAGTATACTTAAAGTACAGCGGATTGGCACGGCCTCACTTTGCTGGCACTTTCTGCATACTTTTTGTATACTTTAAGTATACTTTTTGGACACTTTAGCCAGTCACATTTTTAGGGACTTATTTCCATGCGGACAATTGTCACGAAAATCAATGGCATTTAGCAATTATCTTTGATTGAGTACACTGCAGGGCATACTGTGTGAATGTAGCACACTTGTACATGTTTGAATGCCCATTCGTACATTACGGCCTCGCCTGCTACTCTAACGCGGCTCGCAAAGCTCGCGTACTTCATGATACCAACCATAATAGCCACCACACATACGCACGTCGGTCGCAGGATAGCTCTTTAATTCTGATGTTGTTTAACACGTTGAGTGCGGAGCCGAAAAAAGAAGGATGTCCCAGAAGCCGAAGGCTGTCGGGGCCGCCCTAATTATTTTAGAAAAATTAAAATTACACCATATGAATGCACTTACAAGGCACTATCCGGCCCTTTAGTAAACTTCGCGTGACCCACGGTGTGGGTCACGCCGCCCCCTGGGACAGTCGAGCGTGACCCACGGTGTGGGTCACGGCAGAAAATGCTCTCCTCATTCTAAAAAAACCTATCACGAGATGTATTGAGACATTGATATCTTATTCGCCTCGACTTGCCATGCGTGGCGTTCGCGAGCGCGCGAGAAAGATGCCCTCTAGAGGGGACCCGGAGACAATCCCGTGCAAGGTGCAATGGGTTCTACGAGGCTCTTCGAAAGAGCGGCAAGAGCCGGAAACATGCGCAGGTCCATGCCAAAAAGGTATCAACTAGGTGCAGCCAGTGCCCAAAACAACCTTTTCTGTGTTTTGAGTGTTTCAGAGCTCTTCATAA